GCGCTCGGCCGTGCCGGCGTTGAGGTCCACCACGTAGTAGAACGGCCGCCGCCCCGCGGCCACCACGCACCCGCCGCCCGCCGCAAACGCGGCGCGCTGCACGGGGCAGTCCGCCAGGTGGACTGCCTGCGCCAGGGGGTTGCGCAGGCCGTCGATGGCGAAGAGGCGCAGCTTCTTGTCAAAGCCGGCCGTGAGCAGCAGCTGCCCGCCGGGGTGGAACTCCACAGACCGCACGACCGCGTCGGCCGGCGCCGCCGCGTTGGCGTCCTTCAGCTGCGACAGCTCGATCGCGCCGGGCGCCAGCGGGCCCGACGCCGCGGCGGCGCGCCCGGCGAGCAGGCCGCCGGCGCCGCGCAGCAGCCGCTCCGCCGCGCCGTCCTCCGCGTCCTCCCCCTCGTCCGACGCGCCCGACTCCCCTGCGCCGCCGCCGCGCCCCCGCCCGCGCTCGCGCTCCTGCTGCCGCCGCCGCCGCCGCTCTGACGGCAGCGCCGCCCAGCCCGCGCCGCCGTGCAGCGCCGCGTGCTGGCGCCGCAGCGCAGCCTCGTATGCGGTGCCGGACACCTCGCCCTGCCCCTTGTCGGCGCGCAGCTTCCTCAGCCGCGCCCGGGCGCTGATGTCAACGCGCACCTCGCGGTCAGACGGGTCGGCCCACACGGGCACACGCGGCCGCGCGCTGCCAGGGCCCGGGCCCGCGGCGCCCGCGTCCCCCTCTCCATCATCGGAGCCACTCGCTGCCGCGTCGGGGCCGCGCAGGGCCGCGCGCCGCGGCGGCTCGCTGTCGCTGTCGTCGCTGCCCGCTGTCGCGTCGCTGTCGCCTCCGGCCTCGTCGCTGCTGCCGCCGCCGCCCCCCCGTGCAGCCGCCCCCAAAGCCCCTTCCCGCTGCTCGTCCCCGTCCTCGCTGACGACGCCCCCGCCGGCCGCGGCGAGCGCCGCCGCGCGCCGCTGCGCGCGAGTCTGTCGCGGCAGGCCTAGGCCCGGCGGCGGCTCCGCCCCCCGGCGGTCCTCCACGAACAGCAGCGGCTCCCCATTGCCGCCGTCCCCAACCTGCGCGCGACGGAAAGCGAGATCAAGATCAGGTTGTGGCGACAAGGCGGGCGCGATGGCGTGGGGGGGGGGGGGTCCTGCGAACGCCGCGCTTCACGACATCAGGGGCGTCCTGCAGCAAGGGCGGGCCCAGAACCGGCTCACAACACGACGACGTTGTGTCGCTGCAGGTGCAACGGGCACCAGCCTCCCCCCACACACACACACGTAGTCGCTGATGCAGGCACGCAGGTTGTGTGAGCCAGCTGCATGTGCAATGACGCACGTGCATGACGCTGTTGTATGCCCCAAACTCCTATGCACACATACACAAGCTCGCAAGAAGGAGCGCGCGCGCACACACACACACAAACACACGCAATCTCTGCACTCCAAATGACCCGCGCAGGGTATGGCGCCTGCCTGTCGGATGAGGTCTGCAATGTCCAACTCGTCGTCGTCGCTGCCGGCGCCAAACGAACCATAGGCCGCGCGCCCCTCACGTCGCGGCGCTGCACTGCTGCCACCAAATAAGAAGTCCTCCAGCTCGGCAACCTGATCGTGTGTGGGGCGTCGCGCACAGGGTTGCGGGTGTGCTGCGGAACGGCAAAGTGCAGCAGCGGCGGGCAGCGGCGGCTGGCGGGTGCGAGAGCAGGAAAGCCGCAGCTGCGCAAGGCAGTGCGCAGGTTGCGGCTTGACATGCGTGACGCATGTTTCACTTACATGTTGCTTTTCCTCTGCTGCGATGTCGAGTTTCGGCCGCTTAGCTTTGCTGCGCCCCATGTTTGCTGTTGTACTCCCTTCAGATGCAGTGTACTATGATGTGACAAATATAATGTGTGTTTATATAACAACGCGCAACGTGTGGTTGGGCCGGCTGCTTCATGCTGAAAGCTCGACCTTGACTCACCATCGCTGCCGTCCCCCCCCCCCCCGCAGCACCCACACACCATCAAGTGACAGTTTTTTGCTCTGAAAATCAGATCATACAAGAGCAATCACCGAAGTCACCGAAGAAGTATGGATGAACTCCGTCGTAGCATGCATGCAGTTACAAAAATGCGATCACCTTGGGGGCCACCACCGCAGACATCGCGCATGGCAGATGTGGCAAGCATGCTCAAAGCGAGTGCGGTATCCCTGCTCGTACCCGTTGACCAGGACTTGCATCACAGAATTACCTGAGCGCGATGGCGGGGCGATCAGAGCGGCAGAGGGATCTGAGCTTGGGCCACAGCAAGGTGTCATCAGGTGGCAAAGGCTCACAGCGTATTTGAGTTGTACATGAGTCAGAATGCGGGGGCCGCAAG